CCCCAAAACCCCAAAACCCCAAAACCCCAAAACCCCTCATATTAATGAAGTTATTGAATGCTTCGCGAATTGTTTACTTGTATTTGTTCAGGCCTGAGAGAACTACCTTGCTCGTGCTTAGCACCTCGTACTTTGCCCCACCCTTCATGATGAACCGACCTTGAGATTTCTTATGTTTTACAAGGATTTTTGGACTTTTAAAGATCTTTAGTGGGACATTTTCTCTGAGATCTTCCAACTGGCCTATAAAGATAAATTAAAGGAAGAGTCCTACCAATGTCGTCATAGTCATTCTTTTGGCCTAGTTCGAGGAGCTCAGAGCCCAATTGACTCCTTCCTCCTTCACTCTGCCTTCTTCCTTGAAATTTTAAGGCATTGGAGTTGATATTGTATTTATTCTTGAACTTTAGAAGTTTTGAAGAATTTACCTTAAGCAAAGAGCTTAAGGAATCTATGTTCAGGAGAAAGAAAAATACTTGATTTTTGGATTGAAGAGCTTCTAGCCTTAGTCACGTGATATCGTTTATTACTCCTCTTAGATTTTCCTTCCTTTATTACTTTAGGGATACTCAATAACCGTCTTTTTGAAGGAACCTTTAATTGCCTCATTTCCACAGATTTTTCAAATTTGCCATGATACTTAATTCAACTCAAACTAAACCCTTCAGCTACACTCTTCGGCAAGAACACATTTCCAATCTCCCCAAAGCCTCACTTCCCTCTCTCCTTCCCAACATTCCCAATTCCTTCTAAATCTCATTCAAATCCTTACCAGCACAGGCTCCCTTAGACTCTATAAACAAAGGCTGAAGCTTCTGGAGTTGCAACAAAAATTTATGAGATTTTGAACTGAGAAATGGAGGCACATGCATTCCTTTAGTAGGTAATGAGCTTAGTTTCTGGAAGATTTCTGATTTTGATGTTTTAAGGGTTTTATTTTGGAGGTTTGGGCCTTTTTAGATTCAGAGGCTTGGTTTTATTTGAAGTTATGCTCAGGGAAGGATTCATGGGTTTGTTGTGAGATATTATCATAGCTGAAGTTTAGACAGTTAGGTTCTTTAGAACTCCTCATTTTATTTATTTAGCCAAATACTGATCTGAGTAGACTTAGTAGTTGCTCTAAATTATGATTATAGGACCTCACCTTGAGCTTCTAAGCTTATAAACACCTGAATATACTCCTTCATCAACTATTTCATCATTAAAGTTGTTTCTGAAACCAGTCTTCCTATTCCCTAAACCATAAACAACATCCAAACTTCAAAACTCACTTCTAAGTTGCTCTCCAAGGCTGCTAAACTTAATATTGACTCTCTATACTTAACCTCCCTTCCCTACCTTCTCCTTTGTCCTCCTCCTCTGACTTTCTCCCCTCTCTCCCCTCAGTACCATCTTTATCTACACCACATCCATCACTTCCCTCCCTCATCGCCCAGTCCTCCTCCTAAAATCCCTTCACCACCAAGACCCCCACTCATCGTTCCAAAATCCCCTTCTGACCACTAAATCCCACCTCCGTTCATACATCTTCCATTATCCACTTCTTTTTATAATTTTTCAATTTTTTCAAAATTTTAAGGGGTTTTGGGGTTTTGGGGTTTTGGGGTTTTGGGG